AAATACTTTTTTGCCCCACTGTATACACACCACACACACACCCTCATTCATTCATTCAGTGGGGAGGTCCATAACTGTGAAATATCTGTCATCTTGCAACTATTGTAGGTTAGTGTTTAGTGCCAGCTAAAAACCATTCTTTTTTAAAAAAGAAATTAATCCAGCTAAAAACCATTCTTTTACTATTTGATTGATTTAATGGATAATGCTTTGCTTTCCATATCAAAAAAGATGTTGCACTATTCCAATTTAATTGGTACTTTGGTCTGCATGTCAGAGAAATATGACAGAAGGGCTTTTCCTTCCTGTGATATTAATCAATGTTCTATTCTATTGGGTATATTGCCCTAGTATTATTTTTGTAATGAAATATAGGGTGATAGTCATGCACACAAGAACAAACAACTGTACAGTGTCTGTTGAAAGGCTGATCTATATATGTGGAAGCAGGGGAGGAGTTTTGAAATCCCAAGTAGGAAAACTGTGGGAAATATTATCCTAGAAAGCAATCTCCAACTGCCAAATAACTTGAAATTCCACTTGGGATTTTTCAATGGCTATCTCATAAATAACAGTTTTTAGGGCCAGGTACAGCATAGAGAAAATTATTTTGATATACAAGGAGTCTTTGGTTACGACCATTTGTTCAGCGACTGTTCAAGTTATGACGGCACTGAACAAATGGTACTTATGACTGGTCTTCAGTGTCCCTGTGGTCATGTGACTGAGATCTGAGTGCTCAGTGCCCAGCTTGCAATTACATCTCAGTGAGCCACAGTCACCTGATCACAATTTCTGATGTTCCCTGCCAGCTTCTCCAAAGCAAAGTCAATGGGGATGCCAGCTGGAAGTCATAAGTTGTGATCATCTGAGGTCCTCGCTTAATGACCTGTGCAGTCCTTGGGTTATGATGGCAACCAGGACTGCAAAAATTGCCATTGCTAAGAGACATGGTCACATGATGTCCTGCTTTATGAACACATCACTTAGCAACAGAAATTCCAGTTCCAATTGCTGTTGTAACCCAAGGACTTCCTGTAATCATTGGGGGGGGGGTTCATTATAATTAGTTTGATGCAATTAAAAATAATAATGATACCTAGACTAAGAAGTAAAAAAGTTCTGGAAGAAGACAGTGGAAAATAATTTCAGTATTGTTGCTTAATGAACAACATGAACATGTCTGTATAGACATTAGAAGCCAAAATCAACTTTTATTCCTTCATTTTGTATTCCTTACAGGATAAAGCACTTTTATTATTACTAGGCAGCAGTGGCATCTGTAAGAAGCCACAATGACATCAAATTATATGTACTGTACATAAAAATGTTATCGCACAAATGATGCAATAATGCACTTGAGTTATGATGTCTCACCTAAACAAGCCACAAAGGTATCTGAAAGAAACTCTTGTTTACAAGCAGTGGCAATTTGAACTGAATGAAGATATGCAGTACATTGTTTAAGTAAAAAGAGAAGCCAACAAGGGAATGCTTGAGACAGATGACAGATTCTAACTAAGTAGAGATCATGGCTGTACAGTAAGAAAAAGAAGGTAAAAGTGGGGCAGGGCAATACTTTGGGTAAATAAAGGTATTGAAAAGGACTCCAAAGTTGAATTTTTCAAATCCTGAGAGATAACAGCATCTGTGACAGCAACTGAATGCTGAAAAAAGTTCTGGGTGTTAACTTCCAGGAGAAGCTGTGTTGCTTCTGGAGAAGATGTTGGTGACTTGTAATGAAAAATATACTAGGCTTCTATAAGAATGCTCAGTAAGTATTAATTATAAATTGGTAAAACAGGTAATAGTCTGATTTATGTATCATGTTAAGTCATAGTTTATTCAATAATGAATTGAGTGGTACATACAAAACAGTAAGCCGTAAACCATGATTCACAAAACACAAAGGCAAACCGAGCAACTACATTGTTGTTTACTGTTATGAGTGACCCCAGCTAATAATTACATTTTACCACATATAATGGGATCAAAAAGATCACCATTACCAGTACTTTAAATAATCCTGTAATAAAATAGTAAACATACAGTAAACAACTAAAAAAAAAAGTCATTCAGATACTAAGAAGCAGTGATAAACATTTTCTAGTGCTGCTCTAGACAATTTTAATGAAAAACTACCAACATTGTTATAATATGTTCAGAACTTCATAGTATAATTTATTTAGGCTGATTTTGAGTATCTTCATATGTCATTGCAATATGGTAAGAGTTGACTATGGACACCTAGACAACCAGGCACTATAAACTAACATGAGAGCAGAATCCCAGAGCAATCTGCCATCAACAGGCAATGTCGACTGAAAGCAAAAATTTATGCCCTCTAAAAAGTTTTGTTTAACTCAATATCAATAAAAGAGCACACAGAAGCTGCTTCTTACTTTGGTTGTTGAAGCTGCAGAATTGCTGGCTGCAAGGGTGGTTATCGCATCGCTGTTCACGGTAGTGCAAGCCCCTGTGGCTGGCGCATGCAGTCTGGAGGGGACAATTGGTACAGGCAGAAGCCCTGGCCTATTGTTGTTATTGCTATTCACCGTGCTGTTACAGTTACTGTTGCTGTTGACGTGGTTCCCATTGGCATTCCACTCCCGGCGATCCCATCCTGTGCGATAATCTCTTTCAAACCGGCTGTGGTGCCGTGACATCTCGGCAAAACCAGCGATTGCCTCTTCTCACAGGGATTTTATCAGATTGCCTATCAAGAACCAAGGCAAAAAAAAAAAGAAGGGTTATTAATTTAAGCCTCAAGAGAAAGCACGCTCACACACACATATATACACAAACACTCCACTAAAGTATGGGGGTGATTTCCTTGTTTTAACTCTTTGGTTTGACAAAGACATCAAATCATTCCATTGTGAATGGCTTTAAACTGCACTTCTGAAAGCCCTAAGGCAAAAGGCAAGACAGAGGGAAAAGAAAACATCAGAACTGATCTCTGGAGGAGAATGGCCTCTAACCTATAGAGGAGGCACCTCAATGGCCTAGGAAGACACCAGAGACAGGCTACAATGAAACACCAGACCACATAATTTCCCATTTGAGGTCTCAATGACAGATTGGTTTCAGAAAGTAGGATTATGCTTCACTCCCCCCCCCAATCCTCTTTTGGGGTCCTGTATCACAAAACACATGTTATATGGATCTTTGAAAATACTGTATAGGAAATATGAGTAGAAAGTGGATTTGCTATGGAAAATTATTTGGTTTAAACATATAAAAAGAGTATGTGCAAAACGGACAGCTGAAATAGTTTTAGAATATGACTGGATTTCTAATGGCAGATACATACTTTGGGGTTAATGACTATTTTTCCATATAAATTGCTTCCAATTAAGTTTTTTTTTTAATTTGGGAACATATGAAGGCAAGGCACTCTTTATCTTAAATGTCCATGTCCATGAGAAAAGCATCTAAGCTTTTTTAAAAAGAGCTTCCTAGAATGTCCAACAAACATAATTTGATACAGAATCCCAAGTTGGAAATACATCCAGTATAATGGTTTTCCCTTCAAAATTCCTAAAGCTCAACTTCTTTTCTGGAGAATCAATTTCCTGCCTGCCAAACTCCTAAACTCCCCTATTAATTTCCCTGTTCTATTTCAGTAAAGTAATAACATTATTTTTGCAGTCAAATTTGTAGGAGGATTTTTAAAATGTAATTCCTACAGATTAAACAGAACACTGAAAGTCAACAAGAACAAGAAAAATTCCTTATTTTTTTCATGCATCTTTTCTAAACAGAAAATACTGCAGTAATTCTCCCCCACCCAATGGGGAGAATTATTTATTTATTTATGAAGTTGTAGGCCATCTGATTCCATCATGACTCTGGATAGCATACAGTATCAAACAACTTAAAACAATGCCATACAGAACAATACTGTCACCCATTCTTGCCCAAGGGCTGGGGAAAGAGTCAATTTCTGAGGGCTTGTTTAAGTAAAACCAGGATGAGGGCTGTATGAATCTATGGGAGAAGCTGTTCCAGAAGGCAGATGCTACAACAGAAGAGGTCCAGTTACTGGGTCTCATCAGGTGACTCTGTTTAATCAACAGAACTTGAAGCATGCTACATAGGACATGTAGAAACAGAAGGTCCCTCAAATCACCAGGGCCTATACCATGAAGGGCTTTATAGGTGAAAACCAGTACCTTGAATTGTGCCCAGAAGCCTACTGGTAACCAGTGCAGCTCACGAAGCAGTGTTATTACATAGGCATAATTGTCCGTGCTGCTGAGTTCTGGAGCAGCTGCAGGTTCTGAGTGGTCTTCAAGGACAGCCCTTGTAGATGCATTACAATTATCCAAAAGCAATATGACCAAAGCACAAGTGACTTGTCAGGCCTCTTGGTCCAAGTAAGGGGACAACTGACACACTGGATGAATTTATACAAAGGCCTTTCTGGCTACAGCTGCTACCTTCTTGAGCAAGAGTGGCAAGTCCAAGGAGATCCCAAGAAGTGGAACCCCATTCAAGATGAAAGATTAAACATCTCCAGACCTGGGTGGTCCAAATACCCATAGCCACTAGTTTTCTCAGGGTTCAGTTTGCGTTTGTTCCTCCCCATCCAAACCCCAATAACCTCCAGACACCAGACTTTGACAGCATCACCTGGTTGGATTGAGATGTATAATCAAAGTACACTGATGATACCTTACCTGAAACCAATGGATAACCTCTTCCAGCAGTTTCCTATTGTTGTTAAATAGAAGAACTGAAAGTGTTGAGTGCTTAGGCATCCCATATTTCAAGGGTCTCTGGCTTAATCTCCCCCCCCCCCGCCACCACCAATGAACACTGCCTGGACCCAACTACAGAGAAAGGAGGAGAACCACCAGAATAATGTGCCTCCCACTCCCAATTCCTGTAGGCAGTCCAGAAAGCTGCTGAGAGATCAAGATGAACTAGGACAGTTGCATTACCCCAAATAAACTCCACCAGAGGTAATAAAAAATGTGATTAATCTCAATACCATATTCCAGTGTGAAACCTGAGTGAAAGAGTCTATATAATTTGCTTCTTCCAGGGTGCTCTGAAGCCACAGCCCAACCGCTCGCTCAACCTTGCCCAAGGAGGAAAGCTTGGGGATTCTACAACAATTGTCCAGAACTGTTGGATTCAGCACTTTATACCACTTGCTCCTTCAAGTCAGGCAGTGTATGCCTCAATGATATGTTAAGATGGATGGAGGGATTATTTGGGTAATTTCCCCCCCTCAACAGTTTTTTGTTTTTTGTCTGATGTAAACTGGTATTTTAAATTGCTATCTACTTTAAGTGCTCTTGGGATAGAAGGTGTATTGAAATTTCTACTACTACTGTTGTTGTTCAGAAAAGCCCCTTAACTTTCTGGTGAGGTGCTGGAGAAGGTTCAATAAACTTCTTCTAGGATCCAGGCCATGCATTCTGTAGAATTCTGAGCACGAAAAAAATGGTTTCTGAGTCTGGCATTTTCAACAGGTGAATATGCCTAGGCAGCAGCCAGAACATCACAAGCCTCTTGCAGTGTATCACAAGCCCCTTGCAGCCAAAGCAACTCAAGCCCCTTGCAGTGTTAACACACCTATAGCACTGCCAAAGGTAACAACCCAAACTGCCCTCTTCCTATGCCACCAGAGTTATCAAATATTACACTTCCCACAGAAAACATTTCTGAACCAGATGGAAGAGATTTATAATTCCTTCTGCAAAAATAACAGCACATATTTTCAAAAATTTGGGTGAGGGGAAGGAGAGGTAGAAGTAGGAAACAAGCTTGTTATTCATAATTCTTACAGAAAGACAACTAAAACAAAATCCCCCCCAAAGAGAACCAGGACTTTGATTTTGCTCAATTCCAAGCACAGATACTTCATCATATTTATAACTATTAGTGACACACTAATGTAGCACACACCATCTTTCCCTCCAAGCCTAGCCATTTTAAAAGCTTTTTTGCCTTTGTGTTTTCTGTACAGCAAAGAACAGTTCTTGCAGTCTTTTCAGGATACAACAAATACAAAGCCACTTGCCTCTGCATGCATGCATGCATGCATGCATAAATGTTATGCTATCATCTTTCTTTTCAGTATGTGCTCTCTTTCAGAAGAACAAAGCACAAGATGTCTTGAATCCTACAATGCATGAAGGAGAAAAACATGCATACACACACGCACACACACAGAGAGAGACACAAACAAAAGCCCTTACATTATGGGTGTGATTTTCAGATACATTCCAGAACAATTCCAGCTTGAGGCTACTTCATTTCCCTATGTTTTCTCTAAGCAGGCACCTGATTATGATGGTCTCTTTAGTGTATTCCTTTAAACTATGTGTGTATCTTTTTTGTATAATTCCACAGAGAGAGAGAGAGGGAGAGAGACATCCATCCCTCCCTCCCCTTGGAGCTTCCTTGCATTCTTGTTATAAATGCAAGAAAATTTTGAGATTTTGAGCCAGTCTAGAGCTAAGAAATCTCATTTATCATTCTAATGGAGAGTCACCTTCATTAACTGACTTTAAAATCAAATGACAGCTCTTTAACTTTAAAATGTCCATAATAAAGCACATTTAGATTGTGGCTTCTACATATAGATAAAATATTATACAAAAAGATACACACATAGTTTCTACAAAAATAGCTACCTTGTTAATAGAGGGAAAAGGAAAAACATGAAGACAGATCTGTGCATTTACAGATAAGCATCTACGCTGCACTAAAAGTTGCCCAACTAGTTATTTTGACAGATTCTACTTTGTTTCACATTCCAAGTGCAATTGCTGTAGAAAGAGTGAGAGCTTTTCTATAATCAGATCTGATGACAAGGACTGCTTCTGGTAAGTGTGAAATACACCTTCATAGTAAAGCCAGAACCATTTCAGAGAGAAGTTCAAAAGCTGAAGCATTTTATCTGAAAACATAAAATAAATAACACAGAAGACCATGATACTAAATTCAAACAAAATGTGCTAATATTAACAGATTAATGGGAATATTTTCATTCTTGGACTGCAGCAGCACATTAAAAACAAAGCACCATGTTTTTCTCTTGTCAAAAACAGGAAAAGGCTGCATTATGTGCCAAATGCTTCTGTATGTGCTAAATTATTGATTTTATCTGGATTAACAGAATATCACTTTAACAAGAATCCTTTTAAGGTATGTACTGCCAAATATAGAACTTTCAGTAAGGAAAAGCAAGGTGGTAGGGGTTTTTTTTCTTCCTAGGCCCTTGTATCTGCTTTTTCCTCTCTCTCTCCCTGATCTCAGTCCAGAATTGTACCATGGGAGCTATTCAGGACCTTCTGCACTATTCCCATGTTTCATACACTGCAGGGCTGTTCACTGATTTCCTATTCAAACCAAAGCCAATTCAAAGCTTCAGTTTTGAGCCCTCCAGTCTTCTCCCCGACTCCAAATACTGATTTGCCCTTATTTCTCCATATACTCTTATTAGTTCCTTATGCTCCTCTGAGTTTTCCTTCTATTCCCCTTTACAAGATCCTAGATTCCAGGCTTCTGGCTCCATAAATCTGAAATCGGTTCCCTCCTACCCGGCCTCTGAGAAAGTTTAACAGTTTAAATACTTTTTATTTGACTAAGAGGTTAATGTGGAGGCCAGTCGTTTTATAGTACTCTCAGTAAAATTCGTTGTTTTCAGGTTAGGATTTGTTTGATATTAATTATGGACACAATGTAGTGTCATAGTGT